CATGCCCCTTGATAGCATCAGTTTACTTTTCCCTCAGCCCCCCAACTCTTCCCCCTTGCTTTGTCCCATTCCATACCCACAATCTTGCTGTCCTCTCGCTCCAGGTAATGCTTCCACATTAGGTTGGCCCGGTCATCATCACTACCACAGATCAAGGGGAGTCGGGGTGTGTGTGTTACCCATGAGATAGCAGAAACACTCAGTACCCCCCAACACTGCTGCAGTGATCCAGAGCCCTGTATGCCTTGTACCCACACACCAGCTCCTTCCCTAATTTCAATTTTTTTTTTTTGAGACAGGGTCTTGCTATGTAGTCCAGGCTAGCCTTGAACTCACTATGTATCCCATGCTGGCTTTTGACTCGAAGCTATCCTCCTGCCTCTGCCTCCCGAGTGCTGGGATTACAGGCCTGTATCACCATACCCAACATCATCCTTCCCTAAATTTCTAGTTAAAGGAGTAATGCTTCAGGAACTTTCTAGGAGAATCCAAAATAAGAGAAAAAGAAAGGAATGTACACAAGAGAAGAACATGCTATTTTCCTCCACCTGGCTTCAAGCCCTTTTTATGTACTCTGCTGTAAATTAATTATCCCCTCCTCCCTGGATTCGGAAACATTATCTTGCACTGTCTTCTGTCTCCATCTGCATCTATCAGCCTCCCTCCTCCTTCTTCCACACTGTTTCTCAAACCATTTCTTATGCTAAAGGATTTCCTCTAATTTTAACTAGCTCAGTTCCACGAAAGATGGATGTGGACAATGACTACTGGGAAGAGAAGGGAAGGGAAGCAACCCTTACCTTAACTCAGGTTCTTCAAGCAGAGCCCCTCCTCGGCGGGGTGCAGAGGGAACTGGACCACTGGCTAGGATAGGCGGAGCCCTGCGGCCTCTTCGGTTAATTTCAAGGTGCAGCCGTTCCATGAGGAGTTTCAGGAACTCTTGGGCATCCTGCTGGCTATAGCCAAGCAGAGAATATGAGCAGCTGACCGCCCCCCAAGTCCCCAGAGACTATCCGCTGCCCAGACGTGGATCCCTACTTCCTAGATGGACAAGACATCAAGGCTCAGAACAGTGCTGCAGGAGCCCCAGCTTGGCCCACCCCCAGATATGGCCAGTGACAGAGAAATCGGACACCCTCCAGCTCTCCCACCTGTATCCAGAGAAGGAGGGAACGTATTTCTGGAAGACAGCTCGGAATCGAGTAGGATTCACAGCTTCACAGGAGTCAGGGTGCCACAAGGCACCAATCACATCTGCAAAGGCTGTTGGGGTGGGAGTGAAGGGGAACAATAATCAATGTCTCAAAGAGGCAGGAAGAGGTTCAGAGGGTAAAATAATAATAACCCCTAGGAAAAGCAACAGAGGGAAAGTGGATACAACTATTGGACTGAGGGTTTGGGACCACGAGCACTGGCAGACAGACCTGCAAGGGGCTGGGGAAAGGGAACAGCAGATGTTACCCGACCTTCAGTGAGCTCTTGGGCTCGGCCCCCTCCAGGCACCTCTTGCCGGAAGTCCCTTCGCAGACAGAAGTCCCGAAGAGGCCGAGTGCTGCTCAAACACTGCAGCACAGCATTCAGGAAGCACTGGGGAGCAGCGGGGACATTGCTGTTATCTCTCCAGTCCGATGCAAAGGAGCCTTAGGAGAGCTTCAGTGCTCTTTCCACATCTTTCCCAAATCCACAGGTTTTCCCCACCCCTAGCATCATTTCACATCTATTTAGAGACGAAGGACAGGAGAATGGCTTACTGTATTTCCCAGATTTCGGAGGCCAACATGACCAGAGCCCAGAAGCAGTGTGTGATGAGCCTGGAAGGTCAGAGTACAGTCAGTAGCTTCCTCTCCATCTGACTGACACTGGACTTTTTTGACAGCGTGCCACCCACTGCCTCCCCGCATCCATCCAGGCCCACCCTCTACCCCGTTTCCCTCACTGGCATCCCTACCTCACTGGTCATGAGCAGTAACCCCATCACAGCCGAGTGCACCACAGACTCAGCCATGGCTGTCCTACCTATTCCCCACTTATTCCTCCGCCCAACTAGTCGGCATTGCAGCTCCTGGGGCAGCTCCCCAAGCACTGGCATGGTTGCCCAGCTGCTCCCCACTCCCACCTTGCTACCCCCAAAGCCCCCTCCTGCCCCCGTGGCCCTTTCCTGCACCCGCTCCTGCTGGCTCTAACTGTAGTCAGCCTGGCTCACTTAGCTCAGGAAATGGGCAACCACATTAGCTCAGATGCGCTGATCCCGCCCCACTTTAGCTCCAGAGATTAATTAGGCCTAGACAGAGTCCTAGGAGAGAAGGTGCAGTAAGGGAAAGGAAGGGTCTTGGGACTCAAAGAAGAATTCTAAATAGTTGGGTTAATTCTCTGGGGACTGAAATGGCACACCATGCTTTGGAGTCACAGACAACTCAGAAAAGGGTCTAAAAGGCCCCAGAAATAAGAGAGAGAGAGAGAGAAGAAAGAGTCTATTGCTGTCATAAGGGACAGAGTAAGGAATCTGGGAAAAGGGGACAAGACAGCCAATAGATGGCAAGCCGGAGACATAGTGGAGCATGAGGCTGGAAAGCTATGTGTGCTGGCAAGTCCTCACCATCTTGTCATCAGAGTAGAAAGGCTCGGAGGGTCGGGCAGATATCATGTGGAAGGAGCCATGGGAAGTAGGGGGCTCTGTCCGTATGCTGAGCAGGGTGGGCGGTCCAGGAAAGCCCCCAAGACGGCGGAGAGAAGTGCTGCGTCTCAAAGTAGGTGGCTCAGGCCGGAGGGCCAAGCGGCTCAGTGCAGCCCCCAGCTCTCCAGCACCGCGGTGCCCTCCCAAGGCAATCCCCATTGGACGCAAGTCCCCACTGCTCACAGACTTAGAACGAGATAAGTTGGTCCGGGATGGGAGAGGCAGAGCCACGGTTGGGGGTGGTGAGCCAGGTAGAGGAACCCCATGATCTGCCCGTAGAGGGCCTCTGGAACGAGGGCCTGAGGTCCGTCCCCGTCCAAGCTCCAGTTTCTTGAGCCGTTCATCGGGGAGACCTGGCCGGGGAGGCAGAGGTCGTAACATGGGGTTTGGCCCAGGAGCTGGGTTGCGGCGCTCCTTGCTGCGGGCTCGGGAGGCGAATGGTAGCTTGGATCCTACTCGGGGCTGGACATTAACAGGTGGCTCTCGGGTCCGGCCCAGGCGGTGCTCTGAAGCCTGGGGCATTGTGGACACCACAGGCTGGTCCTGGGAGGAGAAGAGAGGGTCAACATTTGAGTTATAGAGGAATATGAGAACCTAGACTACCATATCACTTGCTGTGTGCTCTGAGGGCAAGAATCATGTCTATCAAATCACTCATTGTATCCCCATTACCTAGCATAGTGTTTGGCACAAAGAAAATACTTAGTATCCCTTGAGTGAACAAACGACTAAATGACTAAGCAGCTCATGACTTTGACCCTTTCTATATCCCACCTCATCCCCACAGAGTACAGATCTACTGGAAAGCCTTTCGGCCTCAATCTCAAGTGTCTTTACAATCTATAAACCTGTAACAAGAGCCCCCCTCATTCCTATCTAGTCAAGTGGGATGTGCCCTAAACCTGTGGTCAAATGTTAGTGTGGACGCAAGGATAACAACCCCAAAGACAGCACTCCATCTTCAAACCCCTGCCCGCCTGGGTTGCAGAAGCAGCAGATTGGGTGATTTGCAACCCATTCCCTCCCCCACCTCCGAGTTCCGACATGGATTGGGGCTCAGGGAGCAATACTTAGGGCTGGAGGATGCACAACTCCTAGACCCCTAATCTCTGCACCTCTCCGACCACAGCAGGGCTTTACCCGGGTCCGCCCCCCTCGAGGGCAGAAAGGCCGAGGCCGCTGATTGGCTACAAGGTCCGGTAGCGTATTCCTCGCAGCCCCGGAATGCTGTCCCTCTAGCCCAGTTCTCCCAGGCCGCATCGGGTCCCAGAAGCCTCTGCCTTTATGCAGAACATCCTCTGGGGTCTAGAGCAGTCTTCTCTCGGCTCCCTGCCCCCAACCCCACCATGATGCCCCGGCTCATACCTGTCCCCCGTTGAGGCAGCGGGGGAGGCCAGCCGGGGCCAGGCTCCAGCTCAAGGCCACCCCCTCCTACCCCCGTGGAGCCTCCCTGTGGGCCAGGCTGCAGCTTTAACCGCAGCTGTTGCCCAGGTCGCTCCCGCCACAAGGGCCGCCGCCATCTTTGTTGGTCCCGCCCGGCCACTGGCCACCGGCTTCACTGTCTCTCAAAGCGCCTGCGCACCCACACTCAGCGCCTCCACTGGCCTCTTCCGCGCTTGCGTGAGCCCGCCCCCACGGCTCCGCGGCCGACACCATGGAAACGAAGCCAACTTTAGAACCGCTAGTTCCCAGCTTGGGCCAGAGTAGTCTTTAAACCGTTGCTCCAGAGCGAGTCCTTTAAGTCTAGCCTCCAGTCACCCATGCTGTGGATGTGGACCTGACAGTTGAAAAATGGTCATGAGGTTTGCAGCACACATCCTTCCTGGTCAGGCAGGGTGCCACGGTAGCAAGCTGCAGGCCTGGGTCCAGCCTGCAGATCAGTGAAGAAGCATCTAGCACTCTGCATACAGATGAGAAGATCCTAGAAGGCAGGGAATGCTGGACCTGTAAAACTATTCCTCAAGTTCCTTGCAGGCTCACACAACGGGGCAAAACATGCTTCACTGCTGAAGGACAAAGGCAGATCTCAGCAGAAGGGAGGGCAAATCTTTCATTCTCCAGCTCCTGATGAAGGCATCTTGCTTTCACTTCTCTAGTATAACTGTTCATGTGCCTCCACTTTTAGCCTGCTCATCCTATTAAAATCCACCAATGAAGCTAAGAGTGGTGGCACACTTTGTAATCTGCGCTCAGGAGGCTGAGGCAGAATTACCATAAATTCGAGGTCGGCTTGAAATACACAGTGAATTCAAGGTCAGCCTGAACTACATAAAGACCCTGTCTCGAAAAACAAAAAACAACAACAAAAGCCACCAATGAAAACCACAGGCTACCACAGGAAGCAGCTTTTATTGATAGATTATCTTCAGAAACCACAAGGCTATGTATTCATTTTCAGTTTCCCCCATGACTCCAGGATCAAGGCCTCTATCTTCCTACATGGGGAGAGGATATAAATTGCCTCTTGGTTTCCCAAAGCCCAAGTCTTTCCTCTTCCTGTATAGCCTAATTTAGAAACTTTGTCATTAGTGTGTTGCTAGTTGTTCCCCCCAGCAATGCCTGTGGCAGCTACTTGGTAACAACCAGAGGTAGAGGGGTAAGGGGGGAAAGCAGTCAGGTGAGTAAGAAGAGCCATGCACAAGAAAACAGAAACATGGCCTAGCAAAGGTCCCTGTATCCCATCTGAGTGGCTTCTGCCTTCATTGCTTGCATTTCTCTTTGTGCTGGATCACACCCTTCTGAATCAGATCAGGAATTTCCACTGCCAGCCACGGACCCAGCTGCAATGCAAGGAAGACCCCATGAGACTACTAACAGTGAGTTCCATCCATTCCATCTCTGCAGAGGTTGTAGGGGAACATGCCAAAGGGACAACAGTTACTGTGTTCCTTGTTGACTCCCAGGTACTTTTCTTATGCTGCTCAGCCCTGCCCCCACCCCAATTTACCAAATATACTAAACTTACCCCCAGGGCCATGAGATGAGCTAGTCCAAACTTGGGTACATTCCTGGCCCACAAAGGTTTGAAGTGATCAGTCAGGCATATTTTGCCACCCCTGTAAGAGAGATAAGAGAATTGTGTCGACAGGCAAAGTTTACCATACAGCATAGCAGCAGCCTCTGGGAACACAGAAGACTACTACTGCTCAGAATACAGAAAAAAATCAGTTCAGTACTTTGCCCAGGCTTGGCAGAGGGAGGTCTGGAGCCCTTGAAAGCCAGAAGACTCTGGGAAAATCTACCTTTCAAGTTCTTCCCTTAGGCACTCTGGTTCCTTCGTATCTCCTGTTCAGTCCTACCTGTACATCTTTGCTGTTTTTCCATCCAGCTCAGGGACTGCAATTTCTGGAGCAGTAGTAGGATAAGTGATAGGAATCTGGAAGAATTATAAAGTCTTAATAAAACAGAGAATCAGGATAGAGAGGAACTAATCTAATTAAACATACATATTTATCGGTGGAACTAAAATGTTCAGTGAACTCCTCAAGTGGCATGTATATACCAGGATTCTAGATATGGAAATTAGTAACTATAACTGTTTGCTTCAAACCTCAACTTCCCCCTCCCATTTTTAAAGTTTTCTTTATTTGTCTTTGTATTTTTTTGGTTTTCTGAGCAATTTAGGCAACTTAGCAAGACCCTGTCTCAAAATAAAAAATAAAAAAGAGCTGGGGAGGTAGCTTATTTGAAGCTCCTGGGTTCAATCCCTACTGCCCCCCCCAACAAAGTTGGCTTGTAACAATCATCTAATCTTTCCCCTTCTACTAACCTTCATATTTCCCATTCCAACACACTCACATCAAACTCGATGTCAAACTCATATTTGAGGAGGTCGTGGATGTACCAGCATTTCCCAAACCACCTGTAATAAAGACCAAACCTCAGTCCAATTGTTCATTCCTCTCATATTCAGTGACTTAGGTCACCAACCTACTAGAGTCCTGAATTAGGAACTGGGGAGCTCTGGGGTGTGGAAGTAGACTGCTAACATGGTGTATGGCAACTCTGGCAGTGGGCTTTGGGATGCCAAATTGCTTAAGCCAAGTAAGTCTCCCACCCTATACTTCCCAAGATAGTCTGCTTACCGGGTCCCTTCCTTGTTGGACTCTAGTCGGAACCAATCATTGTCTGCATTCTTGTTATTTTCCACATACTGAAAGTAGAGGAAGAAATCTTTGACAGGGTTTGAGGGCCATGGACTGCCCCCTTCCCCTCAGAAGAAAAGTATGATTACTTTCTTCTTCAGCATGTTTCCCTAACTTTTCTGACATAAGAAAAACTGAAGACAAGGCTATACTGGTAAACTAGGGGCTTGCCCAGAGAAGAGAATGCTTGGGTCCCATCCTGTTTAGCAGGCACAGAAGATTTGCAGTGATCATCTTTTGTTACTTTTGATAGTGTCCACCCTCAGCCCACAACTCCATGCTATACTTTGTCCCTGGATGACCTCATATGGCCCAGGTTTCCATTTTCACTCATGAGCCAATGACTCCCAAATCATTTTTTTTGTTGTTGTTTTGATTTTTGAGACAGAGCCTCACTGTGTAGTTTACACTGGCCTTGACCTCACAGTGATCCTTTTGCCTCAGCCTCCCTAGTGCTGGGATTACAGGCATTCATTACTATACATGGCTCCAAATCTTAATTTTTTACCCAGACATTTCCTCAGAACATTAGACACCAGTATCCAAATAAATGTTCAATGCCTTGCAAGTGCAAAGACCCGAGTTCGATCCCCGGTACCAAAAAACAAAACAAAACGAAACAAAAAACAAATAAATGTTCAAAAAATTTTACCTTCATTTCATAGATACCTGAAGCTCAGAACTTCCACCTAGAATTTATACTATCTCTTCAGACCTGTTTCTTTTCCTGCATTCCCAGTGTTAGTTGGCAGTGTTAGCATTCACTTAATCACCCAAGCTAAAAACCTGGGAATCATCCTTGATTTCCCCACTGCTCTCCAGTGATCCTTCATAATGTCATACTGATTTTGTCCTATTGATTTCTGAATACTCTTAAATCTCCCTTCTCTTTATCCTCACAACTATCTCATTTAGATCATCATTTCTCGTGAATTAATGACAGCCTAACTTGCCTTCTACCTTCAGTTTTACTCCTGCCAAATATATTTTTCTCTCAATTGGATCATGTTACTACTCATCTTAAATTTCTTTGGCATATCTCAAAGCCTCTAAAACTCAAGTTCTCAAACCTATCTCCCCAGCGTTGTTCACCACTCCCTGCCTCATATTTATATTCTAGCAACTCTAAACTACTTCTTTGTATACTTGACACCATCGTTATTGTCTATGCTTTTGTTTATGCTGTCCTTGTGCCCTGAGTATCCTCCTCTCACCCTTGTTTTTTCAAGCTAATATGCTTATCCTTTAAGTCTTAGTCCAAGCATTATCACTTTCAGTAAGCCTTCCCTGACCATATTCAAGGTGGACTAATTATTTCTCATGCTTTCAAAGCATAGTAACCATTTCTCTTTGATTCTCTCGCCACATAAACACTACCATAATGCTTTTGTCTACATCAGTACCACCTTATTCTGCTTTGTAGCTTCCCTAGTTTCTTGAGTCACAGTTTTAAAAAATTTTGAAAACGGAATACATTAAGTAGAGCTGCTGGCCTTTGAAGCAGACAGAGGTCACACTACAAAGAAGAAAAATGTTCTTCTCTTCCAATAGCAGGAACATGAGAAGATGGCTCGTTTCTATCTATAAGCTTTACTCCCCAATTCCACGACTAATACCTCTTTGAGTTTTCAGCGCTAGTGCGCGTTCCTCCCTCACTAAAATTGAAGCGGGGAGCAAAGAGGTGTGCTGAGGCCTAGGGCTCTAAGAAGTACCCATCACCTCTCGCATCCACTACAGCAGGAGAGAGACACGTCACCTTCTGGGGAGGTCTAACTCTAAAATATTGCTGTTTAAACTACAAGGTCTAGCCCCACTATACTCCTAATCCAAGACTTTTTTTGCTTCCTCTTCAATACATGTCCTAAATCTGCCAACTCCACAGTCTTTCCATTTCTATGAATTTATAAATTACATTGAAAAAACCGGAAGGAGCTTCTACACGGAGCCTATTTCCGGGGACACCTGATTTACCCGCAACCCCTTTGCTACGCAGTCGACCATAGGCGCCCAACTGACCCGGATAAGGGACTGGTATTCCTCCTTTAGTCGTTGCACCCACAACTCCCGATCTCGGGGTCCGGCGTTCGTCTTCAGCACGGGGATCTCAGACACGACACGGCGAGTGGCCTCGTCAGCCATCTTGGACCAGGGCACAAGAAGTGCGGAAGTGGTGTTGCCTGTAACGTGCGGTCAGGGCGTCGCCATCTTTATTATGGGAAGATGTTGGTTAAGAACTTCTGTGACTACAATCTTTATCTGCCGCAACGAACACAGATTTGCTACCTGGTCACCCGCTTGTGGGTGCATCGGGAAAACCAGAATGGCAGCGGATTATTCTGTCCTGAAGATGGCACCTATCAGTAAATCACCGGGAACGATTCTGAGTGACTTCCGTTCATGCTCAGAGACGCACTTAGAAAACCCTCTGACACTTTCCCAAATTTGGGGGGTCCTTAACATTTCTGGCTCTTCTGGCACTGTTCAAGGCGCTGCTTTCCTAAAACGCACATTCAAGTGTTTCTGCGTCAGGGAAACTTTCTTAATTACATGTATAGTGCAGCTGGGGTAACAGAGGCCAAAGCACTTATGGAAAGGTGTTAAACAGATAGTTATCTAAGTATAATGTACAGTTGCTGTCCTGAAGATTTAACACAGCCGAACTAGAGAATTTGTTTTGCTTTGTTTTGTTTTGAGGCAGAGTCACCCTTTGTAGTTCAGGCTGACCCTGAACTCACTATGTAGCCCAGGCTGGTCTCGAACTCACAGCGATCCTCCTGCCTCAGCCTCCCGAGTGCTGGGATTACAGGCATGCGCCACCACGCCCGACCTAAAGTTTGTCATTTACTATCTTTTTTGTTTGTTTGTTTGGTACCAGGGATCGAACTCACGGCCTATAGGCAGGCGCTGGAAACACTTGGCTAAATCCCCAGCCCCCGAATGAGAATTCTTAATAACTGCCAAAAAAGTTTAGAAGTTATAAGATTTGTCTTAGTCTATCCCAGAATTGGCATTCAACTGACTAAATCCTAGACACTTCTTGGAATTAATTCATCCAAGAAGGAATTGTGTCGTTTTATAACTAGTGATATACCAGTAATATAACAATAACAATGATATAGCCCGTGATAGGAATTACAGGCATGCCCACCAGGACGGGCTTCCGTTGTAAAATTTTGTAACTTACAACCTGTGGTAGTAATTTTGGATCCAGTTCTGTCAATCATCAAATTTTATGGCCCATCTACAAATTCAATACCCATTTTATGCCTAATTTCCCTGGCTAAAACTTAAGTACAAAAATTTTGTAGTATAATATTGAATAAATGTTTAGCTATTTTTGTCTTGTGGTACCCGGCCCCCACCTGGTCGCCATGCCCCCCCCAATGGAAATGGAACTCAAGGTTTTTTGCACTGAGGTGCATCCCAATCTCCCTTCTATTTATTTATTTATTTATTTATTTATTTATTTATTTATTTATTTATTAAACCTTCTATTTTTATTTATTTATTTATTTATTTATTTATTTATTTATTTATTCTTGAGGCATGGTCTTGCTGTGTAGTTCAGGCTGGCCTCGAACTCTTGGTGATCGCTCTGCCTCAGCTAAGTGCTGGGATTACAGGTGTGTGCAACTATGCCGGACTTTTTTTTTTTTTTAATAGGCTTTACTTAAATTCTTAAATTGCCCAGCCCAGACTTGATCTTGTAATCCTCCCGGGATGCTGGGATTACAGGTGTGCCCCACTCATCTGGCTTTGTCTTGTTCTGATTTTAGGGGGTAAAATCAGTGAGTCTCTGTGAAGTATGATGCTAGCTTTAGATTTTGCACTGATGCCCTTTATCAGGTTGAGGGAGTTCCCTTTTGTTCATTTATTTGTGTATTTTTTGCTGTACTGGGGATCGAGCTCAGGATCTTGCTCCACTGAGCCACATCCCCGACTCCCTATTCCTTCTCTGTTGAGGTGTACTTTTTTTTAAAATCATAGGTAGATGTTGGATATATTTCAAAGTTTTTTCCCACGTTAAGTGTAGTTTTTGTCTTTTATTAGTATGCTGTACATCTCTTTCATGAGAATATTGGATATTGGCTACAGTTAAGGTAAAGCTTTGTAAAACTTTACTAGAGATCATCAGTAAACAAGATTTATTCCATTTTGGTTGTAGGGCACTGTGGTGTGATACAAACAGCAGAGATTTGAAATAAAGCTTTGCAACTTGACTCTCACAAGACTTTGTTGAGTTACTTCAACTCTGTGAACTGGTTGTTGAAACTTCACGTACAATGTCATAATCCACCTTGTGAGCTCTCAGGATGAAATTCAGATGAAGAACTGGCACAGCAGTTTTTTGTAGTAGTGGGGCCAGGTTTACAAACAAAATCTTACTACGATTCTCAAACCATAAAGGTGATCAGTGCAAAACTGCCCTTGTCCACGTGCAGGCCTAAGACTTCCAGCCCTGAAAGTTCTGTACTTCACCTATGGAAACTGAATATACCTTATTGTCTCATGGTCTTGATAGCCTGGCAGCTCAAACTAGGTAGGGATTGTTTATCTGTCTTGTTCAGTGCTATATTTCTGTATTTTAAAATTTAATAAATATTGATACGTAAGGTATTAGAAACTCTTTTTCCCCCCAGTTCTGGGAGGATGAACCCAAGGCCTTCACACTGAGCTACTTCCTCAGGACCCCACTCCCTTAAATTTTTTTTTCCAGGTACCAGGGATTGTACTCAGGACATTGCTTGCCAGGCAGGCGCTACACCTCTGAGCTACGTCCCCACCCCTCCCTTTAAATTTCGAGACAGAGTCTCACTAAATTTATAAACTGGCCCAGTCTAGATTTAAACTTGTGGTCCTCCTGTCTCATCTTCCAGTGTGCTGGGATTCACCACCATGCCTGTGGGGGCCCAGTCATGGCCCACTGGAGTTTGACATTTGGAAAATAACTTCTTCCTGTACAATTAAGGCATCGACACAATCTATGTAACATTTGTTACTTTTCAAGGACACTGTTATACTTGCTTTGTTCTTTGACCCTGGGATAACAGGAACTCTAGCCCGAAGATCTGATGTTATCTGTAAGAGTCAGGAAATCCAGTCTTTGCATAAAGATAAAAACAATTGCTTGGTGCTTCCTGTTGTTGTGTGCCCTTAAAAGCTTCTTGTTGATGTGAGCCTTTAAAAGGAGCTGTTTCTGTGAAATAAATCAGACTTCTCTTGGTCTCCTCTCAGGCTTGAGTGTTCTTTCCTTTCTCAATCCTCACTCCCCAACTCAGGCATGTTTGTGTTGTGACGGCTGGACTGCCACAAGTGGTGCCCGAACAGGGACCTGAACAGGGACCTGAGTATCGAGGGATCCAGTGAAGGACACTGCTGGATAAAGAATAAAAGGAGATCTCAACAAAAAGAAAAAAGAGGACCTTCAAAAGGAAGGCAAAAGAGGAGCAATGAGTTTTCTTGTAAATATTAAAAATGGGAGCTAGCAAGAGTTGCATGCTTTTTGTACATATGTTTAAACATTTATTGTATGTCAATGGTGCTAGAGTAGGACACCAGCAATTGTGTAATTTTTTAGAATTTGTAGAAGTAATTTGTCCTTGGTTTCCTTTTCTTTGCTTCTGTGTCTTTCTCTTCCTGTTAATGTCTGAATCGGTAATTTGTGATCCGGATCATTTTGGAGGCAGGGAGGGAGGTCCAGGCAGACATGCCAGTGGACTCCCTGCTGCAGGGGCCAGACACATCCTTTGCCCCTGTGGTAGGAACTCTGTATCTCTGTGTACAGGGAGGGAGGTTGATTTTTTTCCCCTCCTTAAGACCCTCTGGTTGAGAGTTCTTCTGGTTTCAGAAGAGGAGATTAAGGAGATTCCCCAACAGAGTCCCTGGTTCTTCTTTTGGTTTGGTTTTTGTAAGCCTTTGTCTTTCATTCTGTTTGGCCTCTTTTGCTCCTCTAGGAGTTGCTCAAACTTCTGCTCTGTGACAATCAGCTGCTAGTGAAAACTATTTAGATTTGGTAACACTTCTTGTGCATTGCAAATTCTTAAACTGCGATTATAGGGTTAACTTGTTCTTTTCTAAAAAACTCAAGGTTAATACTGCTCTATTGGCAGCCAGTCAAATTTTAAGATGTAACAATCTAAAAGCAGAAAAAGGACATTTTAAGCTGAAGTTTGTTATAGAAGGTTAATAGTAAATGAGATAGAAAAATATTAGGAAAGCTATAAGTAAGAGTTGTACTTTTAACATGAAAGGTTTTTGTATGTTCCTCTTGTCTTTACCTAAGTATGTAGAGAAGGTTTGTGGAAATGATTTATTTATGTTTGCTTGTTGGTTTCAAGTCTGTTATAAAAAGGTTTACATTTACAGTCAAGAAGAGTTTTCATTCCTTTAACCCTAATTCTACAAGAGATCTCTGTTAATTTTGACCTGCAAAAGTTCTGACTAGTAGTAACTAAAGATTTTATAATTTAATTGGTCAAAACCATTTGAATGCACTCTAGTTTAAATTCTTATATGTTTGTCTGTCTAAATGTTCAAAAGTGTTTGTCCAGTTATGTTTTTGGTCAAAATGACGTCAAATACAAGTAGATTGTTGATTTCTACAATCTGGCTTTATAGGAGTAAATAAAAAACAAAAGATAATTAAATATAAACTTTAAGTTTGGGTACACTTCTGTTGGTAAATAAGCAGCTGCTCAGAAAATTTATTCTAATCTTTCTTCACTAGTGGGAGCCCAAATAATTTTCACAGCCTTATAAAAAGATATGCCTTGTTAAATATGTTGTTAAAAATGTTTAAATTGGTTATCATCAAAGGTCTGAATTCTAAATATGTTACTGTAATGTTTATGATGGTTATCTTCAAAATATAATATTTTCTGTAAAAAAAAAAAAGGGAAGATCCTGTTGATACAAAGCTACATTACAGGACATAAGATTTCATATAAGTATAATAATTATTACTGCTACTTTTCTGGTATACAAAAATGTATTCATGTTGTTTGACTATGCAGGTTTTTCAACATATTGTTTATGATAACCTTTTGATCCAGGTATTCTCCCCTGTTCCCCTCTATTAAAGGTGTAACTACAAAAAATAAAAAAGGGGGAATTGTACCCCTCTTCACCCAGAAATGATTTAAATCATGCTACCTATATTTTAAATTTTTTACAAATT